TGAGTCGAAGTTGACGCAAGTTCTGGCCTGGTTCTGGCGCCTTGACATTTGTGCCACCGATCGGCCGGACCTGCGGCGCTCAGCAGGACTTAGGTCCTCTGGTAATGTCAGGAAATCGTATGTCATGGATTAATTGGAGATAATAACTAAACGTATCACGAGACGAGATGACTGTATAACCTAGACAATGAGTCTTAAAATACTAGTAGATTAACATTTCTGTACTCCCTAAGATTGATGATCCTAATCAGTTGAAAACTATGTCCAAGCTAATCCAGTCCGTTGTGTAGAGGCAGTTTTTTTTGTGGTTTCTTTTGTATTCAAAATGTTTATAAACTATTCACTAAATACGAGCCAATTGCTTATTTTCTGGGTTTATATCAAAACATTATTTAAAAAATCATAACATCCACCGTATATTGAAACATTAAGTCGACATCAGCACTTTAAACATAATTAACAGACTTAAAACAAGGTTCAGATTTTAAAATAGGCCATATTATATTATTTTGAGTCTACTTATGACTCAAAATAAATAATAAATCAGCAAAAATCATGTATGCGAACCTCCTCAGATTTTAACTGATATAAGTAGGATAGAACATGGACACAACAAAAAATAAATAGGGTGTCTTACCTGTAAACTTGTACCATTCAGTACCAAATACTAAAATGAGGTAAAAAATTAATTTGTGCATAATTAAACTATACGTCGAAGTAGAAATGTGGTTAAAATAACCTTTTGAATCATAAATGATCAATTTATTCCTTAACGTTGAAAAGAATGTACAGATGTATGGTGAATGAAGTTATTGAGTTATAAAATATATGCTTGTTAGGAGATTATCGTCAACGTTTGGCGGACATGGATTACAGATGAAAGAGAACATGCGGTAAAAAAAACTAAATTCAAACAATCAATTGATTTTGGACTCTAGCACCAATATTTACATAACTGGTGTCCAACACTAGCCGTAGGTTACTATAAAAATGACAATCGACAGTGAATGTAACAGAAGATTGCGAGGTGATAGGTGTCAATTTCCTTCCGTAACCGAAACTACCGAAATCGGCAAACTACCACATTATAAGCGGCTATCCAGCTGCCGAAAATGGCCCACGATACTGTAAAATTAATTATGTAATTTTCCATATACCTTTTACACGTAACTGTCTATTTCATTATTTAGCTATTACATGACATATTAACTATACCATATCTTAGATACTGTAGTATCTGTTCCAATTACATGAAGAGAAATAACACCCGCATAATCATTTCTGAACACGTTCAATGACTTTCCAAGTCGAGCTTACCTTGACTTCTTTCAGTAATTTACTTCTTGCAGAACTCATGCCAACACTTTGAGAATATGAGTCTGTGATTTGTGGCACCCAATTTCTTAGACTTTCCTGCTCGAATAACTTTGCGGTTAAGCATTACAAAATTGTGCGTTTACATTAAATTACGTTTTCTTGTCTGGAGTTATACAGTTTCAGTATCATTTGTGTCAAACATACTCAATTTATTTGCAATTGGTTTGGGTTTGAATTAGTTATATGAACTGTAAAACTATGTACTTAGTTTTCAATTAAAAGGGCTTAAAGTTTGATGAAGTGGATAAGAGTTTACCACCTGCTTAACAAATTGTTTTCATTACTGTATGAAGTCACGATAAACTCATTGGTAAAATTGGCCAAATCTACGTACGTTTGTAGTATTTATTAATAAGAAAGCAGCGCTATAACTATGATTAAAGATGCCACTAAAATGTTCTCCTCCACTTGGAATTAAACCATGCAATCCCGAAGCTATAATAAGTTTCAATCCACTATACAACACTAATCGTTTGTATTATTTCCTTGTTAAATAATAATCAAGATTTATTACTAACTAGTGAACCTGTGCGGCTCAATGCGCCGCAAAATAACATATGAATTTAGAAAACAAATTCATCGTATCATATATTGACTCGACATCGAAAATTAAATACAATAATAATGAAGCCTTGGAAGGGAAGCTGTCCAGCCATTTCCTAGCTGTATGTGTATTATATTTAGTAAATTAATAAGTGTTCAAGTTCAAGTATGTTATAGGCAGCGAGCAAGGTTATAGGGTAGTTATGTTTTAAAGATTTTATAACACATTTAACAAAACATTTTATCATATCAAACCAATAGGCCTATGTAGCATATTTTGAGGGTCATAAAAATGCTGCTTGAAGAAAACACACTTTTAAAAATAAACACTAAAAAAAATATTTTTATCACAAAAGCACTTCCATGAATACTACGATTTTAGCCTTAAAGTTACCTTCAGGAAGATTACCTTGGTCAGAGTTTTCCGTAACGAATATGCTTATCCTATTAATAGATGTAGCCTACTTAAAACAACATATAATATAGTTGCTCATGACTGAAATTGGTCTGGGTAAGAACAGCGCTGCAAATGCCAAAGGTAACAGAAATTAGCATCTTTCCATTTTAAAAGGTAAGTTTGTTTCAGACGGGTAAATTTTTATCCTCGAAATCAAAATATGTCCCCACTCACTTGTTCCAGTTAAGACTTTACATTCTACTAGCTGTGTACCCGTTCTACGCACGGGGATCTTATAATATTCAGTTGAAACCTTCTTATATAACGAACAGCAGTTGGTTTGCATATTTTAAGATATGCTGGCCAAACTATTATACATAGCTTCATTTTATGTTGTTTTTTGTTGTTCCGGATCGGTATGACAATCAATAAAAGGTTAAATTACCTCTGTGTCTGCCGGTCGATCCTATAACGGTAGGCTTACTTTTATTTTTACTATCTGATCTCGTTTGCATGGCTCAATCACGTCCTGGTTGAAGTTCGTTCGCTACGCTCACTCACCTGTATGTTGGAGCTCGTTCGCTGCGCTCACTTTCCTTCAGGTTAGCTCGTTCGCTACGCTCACTTGCCTTCAGGTTAGCTCGTTCGCTACGCTCACTCGCCTCCAGGTTGCAAATTAGCTGTTGTCATAAATGTAAAAGAAATAATAGTGCTAGTGCTGCACCCTGTTGGTAATCCTTGTAACTTTAATGCTATTGAACATCACAGAACAGAACCAACTTGTTTAATTGAAAAAGCTGTTAAGATTCAATAATTTCATTTCTCATAAGGTTAACATGGGCTTCCAGAAATTCCACGTCAAAAATCGACAAAAACTTGATTTTCAAGGGTTTACTGTTAAATATCTAACTGTCTCATATTCGATGAAATACGTCTAAAACCATCTCATATATGTATAGTATTTGGAAAATAAGTTTCAGGCGGGACAGTGCTATAGTTATTGAGGAGTAGTTGTAATAAAGTGCGTATTTTAGCGTTACCAAGAGAATGACAGATAGACAGACAGACAGACAGACAGACAGACAGACAGAAATTGAGATAAGGTTTGATTCGGTTTCTCTGACCTATGAAATGTAAAAATAACCAAAAAGTTCATTATTCTAAGCAATGTACAGACAAAACTCTAATTTTATTTATATAGATTAAGTTGTTAACCATTCTGATCACAAAGCCTTGTGCCATTAATAAGGCCCTTTTTGATGTATTAATATTCCTCATCAATAAAACCACTGCCCCCTTTTATTAGTCTAATCTGTGTCTTGGCAATCCACTGGGTGTCTGCGCCTTCGTCTGTTTCAAGGACCCACTCTTCTTCCCCTTGGTAAACTGACAATTAATTTCCTGACTTGTCAAGTTTATGTAGTAATTCATTAATACTGTTAGTTTATAAAGAAAATTTGAAAAAAGTTACTTGGCTTGGTGCTTTCATAACTGCAAACTCAAAATACACCCACAAGTAAAAAAGAATCAAGATATTGGTTAAAAAAACTATGTTTGTGTAATAACATTATTCACATGAAGTAGATGATTTGTTTGATTTGTCGATCAGCTGTTTAGTTTCAAATGAATTAATGTCAAAGATTTGTGATTTAAATACATAAATTATTATAGTAAAGTTTTTAAATCATGGTACTTAACTTATTCTCCACTAAATTTTACTATTCCCAGCATTAAAATAAAGTAGTAAGATCCATTATGGGTAAACTTTAAGGTACACAATCCTTCATTGAAATGTAGTAGGTATACATTAAGAGTCATAATACACAGCAATTATTATGTGTAGTAGACTTTGACTATTTTCAAGTAACAAACATATGTTTCTGTAAATAAAAATTATCTCCCATGTTATCCTTATGGAGAAATACGAAACTTTAAAGGGCTCCAGGGACTCAATCTCTCATTATTTCCCTAAAAAGAAAGTTTCCTGCACAACTTCACGTTACCCTCTTTCCAATGACACCAAAAACATGTCAATCGGTTCAGTAGTTTCGGAGGAGTAATTGTCACAAAAATCGTGCTTGCGTATTAAATAAGTATAGATGCTGTTAATTTGGGGTTGCTAACACCATATGATTTCTCAACACCACATGATTTCTGTTATTGTTCTGAAATGTTTATGTTTATATTTTCATTCAGTGAAGATAATGATATGAGATTTTTTGGTAGTAGGACGCTTTGTACGAGCCCGGAATTGATTTTGTAGGGGTTGGGGCATTAGCACTTGTAGATAAAATCCATGGGTGATTTGGCAGGATTTAAACCCGGGACCTCAAGAACCGAAGTCCCGCGCTCTAACCACTAGATCAGCTCGCTCCCCTACTCCCCTGGTAGGATATTAGAGTAAAATTGTAGGTTGTAGAGTTATGTTCTTAGATGGAACTATTCATCCTTAGCCAACTTTTATGTTACTGGTGCATCATTAAAGGCCTCAACAGCTAGCAGTAAGCAGTAGAGAGGTTGTTTCAAATGGGTTTTAAATGTTTTTCCTTTTTGAAGAGAACTTTCGACTCCTCTAAATTAAAGCATACTTTGCTTTCCAGCGGAGATGACACATTTAGCTTGTAATATCATACATATTTATACATATACAGGTATTAATTTGTGTGCTCTGTGTCGTGTTCAGGTCAGGACATGTTGGCGAGGACGCTGCTGGTGCTGGTCGCTGGGCTAGTCACCGCCCAGTTACTTAGTGCGCTACCTTTAGACACGGATAGTCTGCAAACTGACACCCTTCTGAAACAGGTAAGTTCCGTCATGGATTAAATATACACTCTATTGATTATTGTGTCTTAGGGCCGGCAGAAAGAATGTCCTTGTTTACGTGTCATCCTTACCAATCATAGGTAACCTAACCTAACTTAATTAACATAACCTAACTTAACATAACCTAACCTAACCTACACAATTATATAGGTAGTCAAAGAGAGCTGCCATTTGTCCTTGTCGCAATTATTGAACGTATCGCGTGGCTCCCTGGAGTAGTTGGCGCAAATCAGGAATACCCAACTTCCTGACTCAGGTGAGTTTGCGCTCGCCTTCTCAACTCAATCACTAAGGATCCCCGTTCCCGTTTAAAAAGGAGAAACATGTGGCTAAAACTTCTGACTGACGAGGTTGACGCTGGAAACAATTCCCTTCTACTCCCTGTTAGATTAATAAACCTCATGGGTTATAAAAAGACTATTTTTAACTATATTTCCGTCTGAAACGTCTAGAGTGATTTGTTTCTTTTTGTTTATTTTAAATTACCTTAAAGCCATTACAGCTAACTAAAATGAAACTTGTAAACTGTGACTTCCTATCTGGTATTATAACAAAAGAATAATGTAAAACATTGTAAAATTTACAGTTGAATAGCATAAAAACATTTAGTCGACATCAACGTAATAGGTGTAACCGTAAAAGTTTTAAACGTTTACAATTTAATGTTACTTGTATTAGTGGAGTATATGGTTCATACTGCCGTGATGATAGTGTAGCAGTTACAGTGCAGGACTTTCGTCCTCAAGGTCCCGGGTTCATGTGCAAATAGAATGTTTACATCAGCAAATAGAATGTACTACTTTAATTTTATTTGTATATTGGTTTTTATTATCTCCAAACAAACTACTCTGTAACGAACGATGATCGCATTGTTCTCGAGTCAACAAATAAAGGAGACTTCAACGATGGGTCAAACGGAATTTCTAATGCTAAACAAAAAGGAGTTAATACTGTACACGTTTGATGAACAACCTTTAAATATCCAATAGAACAAAACTTGTTTCTGTATATACGTAAGGAACAATATTTTTTGTTCCTAGTTACTCATGTTGATACAATGGCCTTGAATTATTCTTTGTGTCAAAAATGTGTTGTGGAATTCGTCAAGTCATTTTCCTAGTTTGTTTATATTTGTTCAACGCCTTGGAGCAACGCAACCTTCCCAACCTTCCCAATGCCACCTGAAACTTTCAAACTTAAATGACCTTAGGTATTCCTTACACCATGTTATCCTTAAAATAATTATTGGTTTTTGTTGAAGGTTTCAATTAAAACTTTTTGATTTTAGAATCATTAATTAGTTGGTTTCCTTGGGTTTTTGCTATTGCATTTCCATCTGTCTAAATGTCAATGGAGGGTTAAATTTATAGTGAAATATCAGTATAACACGATGATAAAAACAAACATGCTGACAGCCACTCTACACTATATGTGTTAATCGTAACTATTTTATAAAAAAGAGGTTAAATTACCGTAGTATTGTCTTGTGGCTCTTATATACCTCCTCTGGGAGGATGACGATCGTTTCGGTGACCACCTCGTCTTCTTCAGATCTTAATCAAGAACATCAATCTTCATTCATGATGAGGTGGTCAAAACATAGAATACGGACACACAGACATATGCAAAACATAAAAAATAAATAAATAAACATAAATAAACGTGTGTATTAAAAAAAACATGTTTATAAAAATAAATAAACATAAGCATAAAAAATTTACTTCTAACAACCTGAATAACAGTGCATACCTGTGGCCAAAGTAGTAATCAAATACTTATATTTTGAAGACATCATCATGATTGATGTTCTTGACTAGGATCTGAAGAAGGCGCACCGAAACGATCGTCAACCGCCCATAGGAGGTACCTATATAAGAGCCACAAGAAGATACTACGGTAAATTAACCTCTTATTTATATGTTAAGTGACTCAAGACTACACACGAATCAAAGTAGCTATTTTATTCATTGTAATCTGCGAACGAATTTTACAGTTATACAAATTTAAATCTATAATGTAAAATATAAACTCCCGTAACGGATGTATTGAAAACAGCCAGTATACCTTGTGCCTAAATTCACCTTTTTTCACGAACAGTTTGAAAGTTTTTAATGTTCCTGGACCGCAGACTCCGTCTATCAATCAGTAGTTCTAGAGATAGACTGATAGACAGGTGGTAGACACTAGACGCTGGACTGGGCTCAAGTGCGCGGTCTCACTTTAAATTATCTTTCTTTCATCCAAAACAGTTTGAAAGTATTTAATGTTCCTGGACCGCAGACTCCATCTATCAATCAGTAGTTCTAGAGATAGACTGATAGACAGGTGGTAGACAGTAGACGCTGGACTGGGCTCAAGTGCGCGGTCTCACTTTAAATTATCTTTCTTTCATCCAAAACAGTTTGAAAGTACTGTATTTAATGTTCCTGGACCGCAGACTCCGTCTATCAATCAGTAGTTCTAGAGATAGACTGATAGTCAGGTGGTAGACAGTAGACGCTGGGCTGGGCTCAAGTGCGTGGTCTCACCTTGAACTATCTTTCTTTTATCCAAAACAGTTTGAAAGTATTTAATGTTCCTGGACCGCAGACTCCCGTCTATCAATCGCTAGTCCTAAAGATAGACTGATAGACAGGTGGTAGACAGTAGACGCTGGGCTGGGCTCAAGTGCGTGGTCTCACCTTGAACTATCTTTCTTTCAACCAAAACAGTTTGAAAGTATTTAATGTTCCTAGACCGCAGACTCCGTCTATCAATCAGTAGTTCTAGAGATAGACTGATAGACAGGTGGTAGACACTAGACGCGTAGACGCTGGGCTGGGCTCAAGTGCGTGGTCTCACCTTGAACTATCTTTCTTTTATCCAAAACAGTTTGAAAGTATTTAATGTTCCTGGACCGCAGACTCCCGTCTATCAATCGCTAGTCCTAAAGATAGACTGATAGACAGGTGGTAGACACTAGTCGCTGGGCTGGGCTCAAGTGCTTGGTCTCACCTTGAACTATCTTTCTTTCATTCAGAACAGTTTGAAAGTATTTAATGTTTCTGGACCGTAGACCCTGTCTATCAATCAATAGTTCTAGAGATAGACTGATAGACAGGTGGTAGACACTAGACGCTGGACTGGGCTCAAGTGCGCGGTCTCACCTTGAACTATATTTCTTTCATCCAAAACAGTTGGAAAGTTTGTAATGTTCCTGAACCGAAGACTATGTCTATCAATCAATATTTCTAGAGTTAGACTGATAGACAGGTGGTAGACACTAGACGCTGGACTGGGATCAAGTGCGCGGTCTCACCTTGAACTATCTTTCTTTCATCCAAAACAGTTTGAAAGTGTGTAATGTTCCTGAACCGAAGACTGTCTATCAATCAATAGTTCTAGAGTTAGACTGATAGACAGGTGGTAACACTAGACGCTGGGCTGGGCTCAAGTGCACGGTCTCACCTTGAACTATCTTTCTTTCATCCAAAACAGTTTGAAAGTTTGTAGTGTTCCTGAACCGAAGACTGTCTATCAATCAATAGTTCTAGAGATAGACTGATAGACAGGTGGTAACACTAGACGCTGGGCTGGGCTCAAGTGCGTGGTCTCACCTTGAACTATCTTTCTTTCATCCAAAACAGTTTGAAAGTATTTAATGTTCCTGAACCGCAGACCCTGCCTATCAATCAGTAGTTCTAGAGATAGACTGATAGACAGGTGGTAGACACTAGATACGCTGGGCTGGGCTCAAGTGCTTGGTCTCACCTTGAACTATCTTTCTTTCGTCCAAAACAGTTTGAAAGTATTTAATGTTCATGGACCGCAGACTATGTCTATCAATCACTAGTTCTAGAGATAGACTGATAGACAGGTGGTAGACAGTAGACGCTGGGCTGGGCTCAAGTGCGTGGTCTCACCTTGAACTATCTTTCTTTCGTCCAAAACAGTTTGAAAGTATTTAATGTTCATGGACCGCAGACTATGTCTATCAATCACTAGTTCTAGAGTTAGACTGATAGACAGGTGGTAACACTAGACGCTGGGCTGGGCTCAAGTGCGTGGTCTCACCTTGAACTATCTTTCTTTCATCCAAAACAGTTTGAAAGTATTTAATGTTCCTGAACCGCAGACCCTGTCTATCAATCAGTAGTTCTAGAGATAGACTGATAGACAGGTGGTAGACACTAGATACGCTGGGCTGGGCTCAAGTGCTTGGTCTCACCTTGAACTATCTTTCTTTCATCCAAAACAGTTTGAAAGTATTTAATGTTCATGGACCGCAGACTATGTCTATCAATCACTAGTTCTAGAGATAGACTGATAGACAGGTGGTAGACAGTAGACGCTGGGCTGGGCTCAAGTGCGTGGTCTCACCTTGAACTATCTTTCTTTCGTCCAAAACAGTTTGAAAGTATTTAATGTTCATGGACCGCAGACTATGTCTATCAATCACTAGTTCTAGAGTTAGACTGATAGACAGGTGGTAACACTAGACGCTGGGCTGGGCTCAAGTGCGTGGTCTCACCTTGAACTATCTTTCTTTCATCCAAAACAGTTTGAAAGTTTGTAGTGTTCCTGAACCGAAGACTATCTATCAATCAATAGTTCTAGAGATAGACTGATAGACAGGTGGTAGACACTAGTCGCTGGGCTGGGCTCAAGTGCTTGGTCTCACCTTGAACTATCTTTCTTTCATTCAGAACAGTTTGAAAGTATTTAATGTTTCTGGACCGCAGACCCTGTCTATCAATCAATAGTTCTAGAGATAGACTGATAGACAGGTGGTAGACACTAGACGCTGGACTGGGCTCAAGTGCGCGGTCTCACCTTGAACTATATTTCTTTCATCCAAAACAGTTGGAAAGTTTGTAATGTTCCTGAACCGAAGACTATGTCTATCAATCAATATTTCTAGAGTTAGACTGATAGACAGGTGGTAACACTAGACGCTGGGCTGGGCTCAAGTGCACGGTCTCACCTTGAACTATCTTTCT